AAACTCAGGGCCTTGTGCATACAAGGCAAGAACTCTACCAACTGAGCTATATCCCTAGCCCTGAGCTATATCCCTAGATAAATTATTAGATAAATCTGATAAATCTAATGAGAGGACCTATAGTGGTGTTATCCTAGGGGACTTTCTTTTTCTTCTTTTAGTTATAGATTGACACAATACCTTTATTTTTTATGTGGTGCAGAGGATCAAACCAGTGCTTCATGTGTCAGGCAAGTGCTCTACCACTGAGCCACCCTGCCACTCACCCTGGGGATTTTCAATGGTAGTTTTTATTTGTCTGTTTTTTGGCACCAGGATTGAACTCAAGGGTGCTCAACCACTGAACCACCTCCCCAGCCCTTTAATATATTTTATTTAGAGACAGGGTCTCACTGAATTGCTTAGGGCCTCGCTATGTTGCTGAGGCTGGCTTTGAACTCACGGTCCTCCAGCCTCAGCCTCCCGAGCGGCTGGGATTACAGGCATGCATCACTGTGCCTGGCTCAAAGGTAGTTTTGAATGTTTTTTCACTCCATATGCTGACATTAGAAAACATAACTCTCATATTATCCTTTCTTCTGTCAGTCTCCTATTAAGTCATAACAAGGTAAACATACTGAAAAGTGTGTTTGGAATAATCAAAATGTAGCTAGGCAAAAGTTTAAGTGCAGAAGACAACTTAAAATCCTCAGCATTTAGCATGAAGCTAGGCATTTGAACTTTTTTGTATTATCACTATTCTACCAAGTTGGAAAATTTTCTATGACCTGTTACTGTGTAACTTGTCTCCTGATTAGAATTTGACAGATACATCATTTCTTATCCATCACAAGCAGTAGCAAAATCCTATAGATTTTATTTTCATGTTCTATCTACAAAGTATCTCTATCTACTTTTTTTTAGTTTATTTGTTATAGCTGGAAATTATTTCTTCCTTTCCATGCCCACTGCTGCTCACTTTAGCTAACACTGATATTCTCTCTTGTCTGAATCATAACAATGTGTCCCAACTGGTTTTTCATTACCAAACTTACACAGTATTGCCAATCTAATTGTGCTTCTAAGAAAATTTCAAAGTGGTATGTGTTTAATAATAACTACTAATAAGTATATAGTATTTGCTAGGCACAGTGTTAAGCACTTGAATTATTTTCTCATCTTTTACATTCTCTTAAGATTTACCAAAAAATTAGGAGGAGGGGTTTAACAGCTTTATTGAGATATAATTTTTATGTATAAGTGTACAATGCAAGGATTTTTAGTATATTCAAAGAATTGTGCAATCAGTTTTAGAATGGTTACATCACTCCTCTACCATAATAAAATCCCCATCTTACTTATTGATATGTAGCCATTAATTAATTTTCTGTCTTCATAGACTTGTCTATTCTGGACATTTCATATAAATACACTTATACAATGTGTTCTTTTGATTGCCTTCTTTCTCTTAACACAATATTTTCAAGGTTCATTCATGTTGTAGCATGAATCAGTACTTTATTCCTTTTTATGACCAAGTAGTATTTCTTTGTATGCATCACATCTTATTTATACATTTTAAAATCGATTATTATGAATTATTATTATTATGAGTAATACTGCTATGAATATTCATGTATATACAGATTTTTTCATTTCTCATGGTTATAGACCATTGATTAGAATTCAAGGACTAAATGGTAACTCAGTGTTTAATTTTTTTTTTAAAGAGAGAGAGAGAGAGAGGGAATTTTAATATTTATTTTTTAGTTTTCAGTGGACACAACATCTTTATTTGTATGTGGTGCTGAGGATTGAACCCAGGCCACATGCATGCCAGGCGAGCACCCTACCGCTTGAGCCACATCCCCAGCCCTCAGTGTTTAACTTTTTGAGGAATCACCAAACCATTTTACAAAATACCTAAACCATTTTGCACTCTCCTCAGCAATGTATGAAGGTCCCAATTTCTCCACATCCTCATTAAACCTGTAACTGTTTTATTACAGCCATTGTACGAGTGTGAATTGTATCTCATTATGTGTGTGTGTGTGTGTGTGTGTGTTGTTTTGGTGCTAATGATTAAATTCAGGGACAATACACTGTACCAATGAGCTACACCTCCAGCCCTTCACTGGCATTTTGACTTGTATTTCATTTTGACATTGGGCATCTTTCATATGCTTTTTGGCTGTTTTATCTTTTTTGGAAAAATGTCTGTTCAAGATCATTTGTCCATTTTTTAATTGGGTTATTTGTCCTTTTAAGTCATAAGAGTTCTCTATTTATATTCTAGATACAAGTTCTTTATTAGATACATGATTTATGAATCAGCCGCTCGGATGAATATCTATGGGAGGTTGATTACAGGACCAATTACAGATATTAAAATTTGAAGATACTCAAGTCTCTTATACAAAATGGCATAGTACTTATATATAACTCAGCACATCCTCCTGTATTATTCTCCTTTTCTTTCCTTCCCTCTTTTTTTTTTTTTTTTGATATGGTATTAGGCACTCTACCACTGAGCTACATTCACAGCCCTTTTTATTTATTTATTTTGGTTTTGGTACCAGGGATTGAACACAGGGGCTCTTAACCACTGAGCCACATCCCCAATCCTTTTTTATTTTTTGAGTCATGGTTTTGCTAAGTAGCTTAGGATTTCATTAAGTTGCTGAGGCTGGCTTTGAACCTGTTATCTTCTTGCTTCAACCTTCCAAGCCACTTGGATTACAGGCATACACTACAGTACCCAGCACAGTCCTTTTCATTTTTTGTTTTGAGTGAGGCTCTTGAGTTTTTGAGGCTGGTCTCAAAACTTGCAATCCTTCTGCCTCAGTTTCCCAAATTGCTGGGATTATAGGCAGGTGCCACCATATCTGGAAGACTTACACTCTCTCTTTCTTTTTGGACCAATGGAGACTGAACTAGGGTCTAGAGTATTTTAGATAAGTGTTCTTAATTCCCCAGTCCATCCTGAATACTTTAAATCATCTCTAGATTACTTATAATGGTTACACACTCCAAAAATTAAAAGGGATTGGGGACATAGCAATCCCCAGTACCAAAGGAAAAAGTGGGGCACATAAATCTAAAGTTCATGAGTAGGTTATACCTGTTCTATAACACAATCCCAATCTATTTTCCACATCGAATTTACACAAATCCTGCAATGTACTCTAAAATGTCCCCTCCCTGTACTTTTTGCATTCCAAACTTCTGTTCATGTTGCTCATTCCACCTGGAATGCCCTGTTATGGTTTGGACATGAGATGTCCCCCAAAAGCTCATGTGTGAGACACTGCGAAGTTTAGAGGAGAAATGATTGGGTTATGAAAGCCTTAACCCAATCAGTGAATTAATCCTCTGATGGAATTAACCGAGTGGTAACTGAAGACAGGTAGGGCGTGACTGAAGGTCACAGGGAGCAAGCATGCCATTGGGGTGTATATTTTGTATCTGGAGAGTGGAGTCTCTCTGCTTTCAGCTCATCATGTGAGCCACTTCCCTCTACCACACTTTTCCACTATGATGTTCAGCCTTACTTCAAGCCCTGAGGAATGGAACTGGCTGTCTGTGAACTGAGACCTTTGAAACTGTGAGCCCCCAAATAAACTATTCCTCCTCTACAATTGTTCTTGTGGGGTCTTTTAGTCACAGAAGTAAAAAAGCTGACTAAAACACCCTGCCATAAATTTTATAACTTTTAATTAACAATATCTTGAGTACCATTTAGCAAAGTGATCTCTCTTTTCAGTCTATTTCCTCAGTGTATTCTCTCATGTTTCTTATTCCATGTTACCCTTTGCAATAAAGATATCTCTGTATACATATTATTCTTCTTCCTAGGTCAAGAATAAGGACATGGGCTGGGGATGTGGCTCAAGCGGTAACGCGCTCGCCTGGCATGTGCGGGGCGCTGGGTTCAATCCTCAGCACCACATAAAAATAAAGATGTTGTGTCCACCGTAAACTAAAAATAAATATTAAAAAAAAAAGAATAAGGACAATGTTTCATTCACCTTACTATTTTCCCCAAACAATAACACTGTATCATTCACAAAGTAGGTACTAAATGTTTTGAATGAATAAATGAATTCTAAAATTACCCCATATGAGTGGGCAGTAAGAGTATATATGTGTGTGTGTTGAAGTGACAGGTTTTGTGTGTGTGCATGTGTGTGAAGGTCAAGGCAAAATTTTAGAAATGAATACCTAGGGAATTTCCTAATCCTGAGAGTATGGTAAAAAAGAAGGAAAACAACAGACAAGTGTATGGTAAAGTGGTAGGACCAAACAGATTGATGCTAATCACTCTTTGGCAAGAGAAAAACTTCTAATATTGAAGTGTTGTGTGCAGATGAGTAATACCTGCCAGTAAACAGGAAATCAGAAAACACCCAGGCACAGTAGCACATGCCTGCAGTCCCAGTGGCGAGGGAGGATGAAGCAGGAGGATTGTGAGTTCAAAGCCAGTCGCCTCAGCAATGGCAAGGTGCTAAGCAAAGCAGTGAGACCCTGTCTCTAAAGAAAATACAAAATAGGGCTGGGGATATGACTCAGTGGTTGACTGTCCTTTAGTTCAATCCCTGGCCTATGCCCCATCGCCAAAAAAAAAAAGAAAACAAGTGATTTGCGAAGCCCCAAGGTAGCCAGGTATGATGGTAAGTACCCATAAACCCAGATACTTGGGAGGCTGAGGTAAGAGGATCACTTAAGCCTGGGAGTTCAGAGTCAGCCTGGACAACATAGAGAGACCCCATGTCACTTAAAAAAAAAAAAAAAAAAAAAAAGCCCCCAAATGAATTAACTGTGGTATAAAAGGAAATAACAACTCCAATATATTCAGGTAAAGACTGATATGCCCAAGATATCTAGACTACAATATGAGGGCCACTCTAGTGTCAGAGTTCCTGAAAAGACAATAGGAAAATGAAACATTTCTCTAGATGAAAACAAACAAAAATAATGGGACAGTATACCAATCCTTAAGCTTTCCCCATGTTCCCAATAACTTCCCTGACTTTCCCATTCTTTTTTTTTATATATTTTTTTTTATTTTTTAAAGAGAGAGAGAAAGAGAGAGAATTTTTTTTTTTAAATATTTATTGTTTAGTTTTCGGCAGACACAACATCTTTGTTTGTATGTGGTGCTGAGGATGGAACCCGGGCCCCAAGCATGCCAGGCGAGCACGCTACCACTTGAGCCACATCCCCAGCCCAATTTTCCCATTCTTACATGACTTTCAAGTTATTGACATCTCCATTTTCTAGCCCAAACTGTTAGATAAGTAGTAGAGCTCTTATTCAGTCTACAATCTGTACCTAGGCAGTGAATAGAGCTTAGAATACAGTATGTTTTAAAGTTGGCAATAATTTGGCATCATCAAGGTAATTTCATTATAACTTCCCTACTTTCCAGATGTCCAGTTAAGATTTGGCTCAGTTATTTAAGCCACACCATCCACTTTCTCTTCTAATTGTCTCTATCTAGCGGGCAGGAGCTTCCAAGAAACATGATGTAGTAGGCACTGCAGTATACTGGCTGCTTGTTGGGGTTGGAATAGACCTGTTCAGGTTTGAGGGATGTGAAAGGGTTAGCTCCATATGCAGTGACGTGTATATCAAGGTTCACCAAAATCTGCAAAGAGGCTGCCAATTCCTGATGGCTGTGGGAAAGAGATAAGAAAAATTACTCTTACTGATTATGAGAAAGAATAGAAACTGCTTAAGAATATAATATTTCTCTACTCATCAATCACAAGAATTATCTAAGACTAGACTAGACCATGACTATCTTTTCCTCCCAAACATCTCACTAAATCACTGATTAGCAAAGGACTTTGTTCCAAGGGGATGAATAAGCCACAAGGTAGAAGGAAGAATATCTTCATGAGAAGACATGCATCTTCATAAGAAGAGAGATGAGCAAGTGGGATCAAAATGAGTTCATATGTACAGAGAGGCAGGAGTGTGTCAGGAAAATATCATAAATAAGTCAAAACCTGTAAACAGTAATCAATGTAGGGATCTTATAGTCACGAAGTAGCAGCAGGGTAGGCAGCCAAGCTTCCATCAAGTTCAGGGATGCATGGAAACCTATGGAACAAAAGTAGAAAAGGGAATACTGAGGAGAAAAGCTGAAGTAGACCTTACGAGCAAGATACTTCTTCGACTGCATTTACCCCAATCCTCACATTGCTCACCCCAATATTAATCATCATTCATCCCCACTAGGTTCTTCAATGAAACATTCTGAACCCAGATGTAGTTAGCACATATGGCAAATTAATTAAGGTCATCATCATAGTGTGTTTAATAAGACCAAATGAATAGGGTTCTAAAGATAGAACATATAAGAATCAGGATGGAAAATCTCAGGGGAGTCACTCAGTATTTCTCTGAACTAATGGTGCTTACCTGGATGGAATGCCACCACCATATCTGGATAGGCTATCTTCCCAGTCTCTATCTGCTCTTCCCAGAAGTCATGATAGAGGCTCCTGTGGCCACTAAGCTGAATTGTGCCAGGTTCCAGAGGTGAAGCTGAGGTGCTGTGTAAAAAGTCAGCAGACACATCTACACCCACCATGATCACATGGAGGCCAAGGTGTCCAGAAAACATATAGCCAAGCTCATCATAGTCCCCAGAACGAGTGAGAAATGTCTCCACGTGGGACGCACCAACCACATGCACTGCACTTCCTCCAGTCTTCCGAACATCTATCCCTAGGACCCTAAACCCTAGGCCCAGAGTCAAAGGCCGTGACAGAACATCTGTCAGGAGTCGCCTCAAAGAGCCCTTCAAGTCATCTGGGTCTGGCCTCGGCCTTCCTACACTGGCCCATAAGGAGGTCATAGCATGACTGCCTAGTATAGCATTCAGTGTAGCATCTATCTGCAACCCCCTCATAGAAAACCAGGTATTCCAGTCCTGTACATCTTCAGCCGGCCATGACCAAGGTCCTGAGGGTAGGACAAAATCACCTGTAGAGAAGAAGGAATAAGAAGTAACCCAATCCTTCCCTGGCTTCAAAATTCTCTCCTCACTTATAACCAATCATCATTCCATGTTCATTTTGCAAACCTGTGACCACAGGTGTCCCATCCCTTGCCCCAGTTCCTCATTTCCTCCTCATAACAACATGCTTTCATATTTTTCTCTGAATGTAAACAACTAATATAATTTTGGCAGACTTTCCCAATACTACCACTCCACCTGTGGCCAGAAGCCATTCCATGAGACGATCCACAGCCACAAGACGAAGCTCTTGACAAACCTTCCTGTGTACTGGCCAATCTGACCTCTGGCACTCTGGGCCACAGTAATAGACATTTCTGCACCTAAAGGAATAAGCCACAGAAATAAATGTTCCTGTACCATAAAGTTAATTGGATATGTCCAGGGATGGGAACTGATATTCTTGCACCTAGGTTGAAAGATTAATGAATGGGTAAGGAGGATGCAGAAAAGAATAACAGCTGCGCCCCAAATGTGGGGAATAAAGAGGAGGCAGAAGGAACAGGGAATGCAATTGTTCTCTCAGACCAGGGTGATACCTCTGTTTTTATCTGGAACAACTTACTTTTTACATCACTTTAAGGAAAAATAAAAGCATAAAACCAAACCAACAATGTGCAGCTGCTCTCTAATCATGTGTATGGCACAGCCCCAAGCACCACATAACAGATGTGGTCTTACTCCTTGAGTACTCAAGAAGAGGGAGTAGAGAAGAAGGTATTTGTCTCTTATCTCATCTCCCCACAACATCAAAAATAATAAGCAGGATTATAACCGTGTTCTAATCTGTCTATATTGTGGTTCACACAAAATGATGAATGAGCCTTAAATGAATCTGAACATTCTTAGACCTTTCCTTTTATAATGAGGATTTAGTATAGGATGATTTCTGAATGTCTCCCCAGTTAGTACCCCACAAATCACCTCTTACAGTGCTGAAGAACTTTGGAGTCTGAAAGGTTACTAGGGAGTGCTCTACAGTGAGCACAGAATCGGAATGTGTCCTCCATCCTCTGGAACATTTCTTGAGGACATTGAAATCCAAAGCCTGATACAGGGATACCCCCATCTATCACCAACCTGTAGAGACAGCATGGAAGAAGAACGGCAATAGGGAAAAGAGTGTCTCCAAAATCTCTTATGTCCCCCATCGTGCCTTCTGTACATTTTCACATACTCCTACGTCTCCTAGTCCCATCATTCTTATTTAAACAAATTATATTTTTTCTGTAGTAATAAAACTGGAAAAAGTCAGGATGAGAAAATCCCTCATTACAAATATCCCATACTGACCAAATTATACTCTACCTTTTGAAATCACTTCTCCTAAAGACAATATATCCCTCTTTCACATTTTGTCACTCACTTGTATTCTTCATAACTTTTCATGTTCAGCTTTTGAAGGATCAGCTGGGACAGACCAGGAACATTACTGTCCAAGGAGAAGAAGCCATGTGCATCAATGCTAGGGCCAGGTTTTGAGAGAGTCAGAGGCAGAGGAGTCACAACTGTGGGAGGGATCACAACCACGGGAGCCACTGTTGGGGATTTCTTGTGCCTCCGTCGCCGTAAGCGTGGAGCCATGACCTGTCCAATGATACCTGGGAACTGTATGCAAAACAGATATGGAATGGAATTCTGCAAGCTGGACACATGTTTTCAAATGTTTGACCTTTTACTTCCTGTTCTAGTCAGGTTAGTAGTAAGATTTATTTAGTAATTATGGATTGTTGATCATCACAGACAGTTGTGAAAAATAAAACTAAATGTATATGAATATAAATTTATACATGTGCTATATATGAAGTTCCATATATAAATATACATATGTATTTTCACATATATATGTAAGTGCACAGAAAAAGTTATGTCAGGGCTTTTAGAAAACTGATGACAGTAATTAAGTCTGAATAGGGGAAGAAGGCAGTGGAATATGAAAAGTACTGATCAATGAGACTTTAGTCTTATCTGTTATATTTAACTTTTCTATAAGGAGAATATATTTATATATTAATATACTTTTTTTTTCATACTAGAGATTGAACCTAAGGGGCTCTTAACCACTGAGCCACACCTCCAGGCCTTTTTCTTTTTAATTTTGAGTCAGGGTCTTGCTATGTTGCTTAGGGCCTTGTTAAGTTGCTGAGGCTGGCCTTGAACTTGTGATCTTCTTGTCTCAGACTCGCATATAGTCTGTGGGATTACAGATGTGTGCCACAACATCCAGCAGCATATTGTATTTTTAAATCAACTTAAAAGAGAAGTGGAAAGATGAAACATTCATTCCAAAAGACCTATCATCACATTGATAAGCAATAAACCAATAGAAATAGAAATTAAATGCAATACAAAACGAGCAGCATAATGCAAAGAGTTACATATTCTAAGCAAGTCAGGCAAATTATGAAGAAAATTACCTAAAGAGATAAGTTTTGAAGTAAAAATAAGGCCATTCCCACTTATTACTGAGCTGAGACTCTAAAGTCCAATTCTCCTGCCTTGTTTTCTCCCACGCTTTCCACAAGGGTTGAGTAGACACAAGGGACCACATTGGTAAAAATTAAAACATCCACTCATTCAATATATATTTATTGATGGACAGATAAAATCACTTTCAATACTATATGGAAACAAGTATGAAAAAATATATCATCAAAATGTCTTGCAGGGGGATTAAATATAGACTATAATATAAAGTACTATAAAAATCCTCTAAGCAAAGTGCAACTAAAGCACTAATGGGCAATGAGACAGAGAGTCTCTCTAGTAGGTGAGCTATAGAAAGACTTCATGAAGCAAATGTTGATGAAATTAGAGAGTCATAATAGTAATTATATGTTTATTTTTAGAGGAACTGCTATAATCTTTCCCATGAATGCCCTCACCATGGAAAATTTCACATTTCTACCAACAGTGCACAAGGGTTCCAGTTACTCTATATCCTCATCAACATTTGCTATTTTCTGTTTTGTTCTTAATTGTTTTGGTGGTACTGGGGATTGAACCCAGGGCCTTGTGATGTGTTAGGCAAGTACTCTTACCAATAAGCTACATCCATATCTCCTTTTGAATTTTATTTTGAGATAGGATCTTGCTAAATTCCCCTGGTTGGCCTTGAACTTTCAGTCCTCTTGCCTCATCCTCCCGAGTAGCTGGTATTACACGCATGGGTGCACCTAGCTAGCTAGGGCACTGTGGAAAAGGGTATGACAGTTCCTCTAAAAGTAGACATATAGTTACTATTATGACTCACAAATTTCGTTTTTAGGTATATACACCAAATAATTAAAAATGAGTGCCCAAAGGCTTATACGACTTATAGTTTATAGCAGCACCATTCATAATAGCTAGAAGATAGAAACAAGTAACAAATCTACCAATAGATAAATGGGTAAACATATTGAGATCACACACAAACAGAGAGAGAAACAGACAAAAGAGAGATATGAGTAAATATCATTCAGTCATAAAAAAGAAATATTGACACATGCTACAATGTAGATGAACCTCAAAAACATTATGCTAAGTGAAAGAAGCCAGACACGGTTACATGTTATATGATGCCATTTATATGAAATACCAAGAATAGAGGCAGAAAGAAGATTGAGGGTTGCCAAGGAAGTGAGAAGTAACTGCTTAACACTTATGGGGCTTTCTTTTGGAGCAATGAAAATATTTTGGAACTACACAGAGGTAGTAGTTGCACAACACTGAAAAGTACTAAACGGCATGCAGTTGCTAACTTAAAATTATTTTTATGTTATATGAATTTCACCTTAAAACTAAAAAGTAAGGGAGGGCAGGAGGGAGGAAGAAAGAAAGGAGAGAATCTATAGACACCAGAGAGGCTAAAAAGTTATTAATATCCAGATTAACTGCCTACAGGGAGGGGAAATGATACAGGATAAAAACACTGGCAGCAGTTGGTTTCACTATGAACAAGGTAACAAAGTTCAAATCATGGATCATGTTTTGTTACAAAATGGCCTGACATTTGATCCTTCTAAACAGATGTGTTAGGATAAAAACCCAAGAATCATAATTTACCTGAGGTAGATGTAGATGGTAAAAACAAATAAAATTTCTCATAATTATTCAGTTCATACTTGTGTTTTATACAGCTCTTACAAACTCCTGGTCTAAAGAATAAATTTATACTTCCTTTGATACTTTCTTTCCTCTCACCCTTATGTTTCCATCTACCCTTTCAATGTCTCCCTTCAATCCATGGTGAATGGATTGAGTCAACAGAACAGAGATAGCTAAGCTCATGTGCATACCATATTCTGTACATTACTGCCAATGAAGAAAATACTGCATCTAATAATAGTTGATTATATTAAGGTTTAAGGGTCATGCCCCTTTACCTAAAGAGAAGATAGAATTGCCTGTCATACCTTAGAACCCTGTTCCCAATAACTGACCTGTCTTCCATTTTAAACTTTTTATTATTTTTTTGTGCCTATGGTAATATAGATTGAACCCAGGGTCTCACACGAGCTAGGCAAGCATTCTACCACAAGCCTTCTACCTTCTACCACTCTGCCCATCTACCCTCCACTTTTAATCACCACACATTCTCAGTGTATTTCCAGAATAACTGCCACTCTAAAAAAACCAAAACAAAACAAAAAACATTTATCTGCTCTATTTACCATATTTCAAGTCAATATAACACCTTAAAAGTTGAAAGAATGGTCAGGTGTGGTGGTACACACCTATAATCCCAGCTACTTGGGAGGCTGATGCAGAAGGATCAAAAGCCTCAGGAACTTAGCCAGACACAGCCTCAAAATAAAAAGTGCTGGGGATGTGGCTCAGTGGTACAGTGCCCCTGAGCTCAATTTGCACCATCACTAAAAAAATTTTTAAAAGGTTTAAAAAATACACTTTTCCCCCATTACTGTTATAAAAGGAAAGTATCTTTAATTTGAGACAATTTAAAGGTCTTGAATTCCAGGATTTATCTCCATCTTCCCCATGCTAAACTATAAGCCTTTTTGCTGCAAGCCAATTAAGGTCCAAAAGGTATTGCTTCAACTCCATTTCCAAGGATGTCTTTCTCCAATGGAAGACTAACTCTTCGAAGATTAACTTTTGGTAAAACGGGGTTAATAGAACCAGCTAGAAGTTAAAAGGAGCATACAGCTTGGTGAAAAGAATTGGCAATGATGAAATCCTTAATGTCACAGGCTTGCTATGCCTAGTGTATATTGATGATCTATGGGACAAACGTGCTAACATTCTGACAGGAAGGTAATATGGCAGGAATAAGAAGCAAGGCTTTGCATTTGCATCTCTGTAAGTTTCATTAGGGTCATGTCTGAGCTGGTGTATCCCAGGTCCAAATACAGCTTCCCTGGCTCTAACTTTCCTGCCAAGAGCCCCAGATTCCTCCAAGTTCAAGGAGTAGAAACAGAAGCAAAGGGAAAAAAAAACAGAAGTGTGACGAGAGTGAAACTGCAAAGAATTGTGGTAAGCTCTCAGAACTTTCCAGAGTTCAATCTATCTTACCTAGAAAGGGAATCACCTTAGATTTTTTTCCTAGTCATCCCTAGTGACTTAGGCTCCAACTTATTCCCAGTATTTTAAAGAGAAAACACCCAACACCAAGTTCTATGAAGGAGATATGAAATTGACTGCCTAGAAAAAGTTATACCCTTCATCTCCAAATTACAAACTAAAATATTAACCTATTCCTAGACAAGAGGACTACCATTTTTCTCCCGTACCAATAAAAGCCCCAATTTTCACCTAAATCACCATCATCTAAATGCAGACCACTAGGACCCATCTAAATTTCTCTGATTTATTAGCAAACACAAAGTATCTCTGGTGAGGTGAGGAGGAGTAAAGCTGGTCACTGGGGATCCTCAAAGGGGTAGGGAAAGACAAAAGGAAAAAAAGAAAGAAATTAAGAACATTGCTCTTATGATTCAGCTGCTTAATCAGTGATTAACACTTCCTGGGGTGATAAATACTTTACTCAATTATAAACTAAGGAAGAAGACAGGTTGATGGGAAAGTAACTTACCCTGCTAAGCCCTAGGTTTCCTTCCTTCTCTCTTTCCTTCAAGTGAAGTGAGTGCTTGATCTTCTCAGATCCAGGTTGTGGCTTACTTGCAGCTGTTCCTTCATATCACTTTCCTCTACAAACTGCTGAAATACTGGGTCTCAGTGATTAAGTGTGTCCTGCCAGTCAGCCAGCCAACCAAAACTGAATTCTCCCTAACCAGGCAAGTAAGAATCTGGACCCCTGCCCAAGGGATTCTCTTTCTGACCCTGACTTTGCCAAGAAGGCTCAAGACTGTCAACACTCCCAAACTCACCAAAAGCCGGGCAGACTGAGGGAAGATGAAACCTACTGCTTCTTGGACTTCTCTCAAGGTAATATTTTTGCTCAGTTTATAGCACCAGAGGAATAAAAAGAAAAAAAAAAATCCTTGGGATTAGTTTAGAAGTCAATAGTTGGTTAGAAAGGGCAGGCACTATGACGGAGGGTACAGGAGTCTCTGGAGTTTGTGGATATCAATCTAGACCCAGCATGAGTTCCCCCAAGTCCAATGTTCTTTTCTGGCATAACAAGCACTGCTTAAATAGAACTCATCTATGTCCAATCCAGGTTTAAATACAAGTATAATTATCCAAGAAAAGAAAAAAGAAATGGTCATTCAATGGCACAAAAGACAACCAACTGTAGGGGAAATATCCAGAATTAATAATTTACTTTTCTTAAAAGGAGAGTAAGCTATTCTCTAAGTGAGAGTATCATCAAGGACATTCCATTCCAATGCACATTTATTCCATCAAAAAAGGAATAAGTCTTTTTGTAATATTAATATAATTAAGAATAACATTTTAGTTAATGAATGAAAATGCCTATTATTCCTAGAAACAGAAAACAGAAAAGAATCAATGTAACCCATTATCTTCTCATTCCTTCTTGTAATGGATGCTGATTCAGGATTTCAATTCCACATTCCTAGCTCCTTTGTATTTAGAGTTACTGAGCTGTAGAACAGGAAACTTTGGGGGTAGTCATCCTATATGACTCCAAAATCTGACCTTCTGACTTACCTGCCTCCATGAACATCATCAAACTGGGGGACAGGACCTCTTGCAACGAGGTCTTAGAATGTTGCCAATCAATCCACATAGTTTTGATGCAGAAAATGGATTCTAAAGGAATCCTAAACTGTAGAAAGCACAAATGATAAGCAGGGAAGGTGGAAGAAAAGTGTTAAGGAGTTAATGAAACATTATGTAGCATATCTGTGAACAAAGGAGAATCAGTTATAGTAGGCAAAAATCCTCAATAAATTAGGAGTGATTCATGTTCAACAAAGGTTTCAAGCCAACTTCAAACTTAACTGGCCTCAAAATTTAACTGTGAAACTTAAAGGGGTTTGAGTTATATTATTAATGGCTGAAATGTAGAAGAAAAGAGAAGTCAGAGACTGACTTTGCTAATTCAAAATGTCATTTCTTGTTTTTTTTGGGTGGGGGGTACCAGGGTTTAAACTCAGGGGCACTCAACCACTGAAACACATCCCCAGGCCTACTTTGTATCTTATTTAGAGACAGGGTCTCACTGAATTGCTCAGCGTCTCGCTTTTGCTGAGGCTGGCTTTCAACTCGTGATCCTCCTGTTTCGGCCTCCTAGCTGCTAGGATTACAGGCGTGGGCCACCAAGCCCAGCTCAAAGTATCATCTTTGACTATGAAGGAGAATAACATGTGAAATTTTTGATGTTGAATATTTATATTTTATCATCACTACTACTTGCACTGGTAGACATTCAAAATAATTTTTTTGGGGGGGTACTGGGGATTGAAACTAGGAGGGCTTTACCACTAAACCCACCTCCATAACTTTTTTTTTTTTTTTGAGACAGGAGTCTCACTAAGTTGTTGAGGCTGTCTTTGAACTTGTAATCCTCTTGCCTCAGTCTCCCAAGTCACAACAACTTAGTGAGACTCCTGTCTCAAAAAAAAAAAAAAAACGGTATGGAGATGTGTGCCATCTGACCAAAGTTATAATTTAGGAAGATGTAAAATTTTATAATTTTCTTTTATCATGAGTTAAAAAATATATTAATAAATACTTCACAAATAGTTTTCTGTGAAACCTATTATGAAGAAAGATTACGAAGAGGTTCCCATTCAGTAGTAGGAAGTGGTCTGTGAGGCTGGTTAATGTTCTCCCACTCTTCATGTATACTGTGAATTGGTCCTTTCTTCTACTTTCCTCTCCCTATTTTTTACTATCAAAATCCATAATTTCTCCAATTTGTTAATGATGTTTATGTTTACCCATGTTTCCCACAAACACTAATTTAACTTTAGTGATAAACCTAAGGACTAAGGAAGTTTCTGGTACCTGGTATACTAATTAAATTCCAACTTCAGGGATGCATAACTTTCATAAAACAGTAATATTAAGAAAGCTCAGTAAGGTATGCTGTCCATAATAAATTTAGAAGCAGTTCACAGACTGGTTTGTAAGCTAATGTTACAGCAAATAAAAATAACAAATCATTTGAGAAGTTCTGTTTGTTATCTTAGGGAAATTAATCTTTATGTGAATGCTCTATAATGTATATCACTGTAATGACTATTCAGAACTATAATTAAATTATGATTAATTATAAAATACAAGCAATATATTTACTTCCCTCAATTTGCAAAATCCTGTACTTGATTATGGAAAAGGAGGAGTATGATGACAAGAAAATCCAATATCATTAATATTTCTTTTACTTATTGCTAAAACATCCAATAATTTCTCAATATCACTATAACAGAATTCTACACAAGAACATTTTCTTTCAATTAAAAATTAATGAATCAAAATAGTGATTTTATATATTATATTTATGAGGCCTATAGAAAGCACCCGAAGTCCTGTAGTACTCAATCACTAATGTTCACAAAAAACAAGTATACTAAAACTTTAAGGAAAACGAGGTGAAATTTATGAAGATAAGAATTTAATTCACCAAATCACCATAAAATATCTGGGATATAATCTTCTCTGAAGGATATACCGGCTTCATTAACAGAATTTTTTTGATTTGCAGAAAAAGGTCAAATCAGACTGCATCTTCCAAATAAAACCCAACACAGAGATAGGAACAGCGGCCCATGCATGGAATTTATTGTGTGCTACTGTTTATAAAATACTCGGATAGTCCTGCACATGCATAATATTTCCAACTTAGACAAGAGACCATACAGGGTGCACTTTCTGGCAAACAAAACAATAGATGGTTCCGCTGCTTGGAGCTCTGAGTTGTATTCCAGGGCATGAGGGAAGCAGGCCACAAAGTAAAGGGAAATACCAAACTACAGTGGCAATCAATACATGTCAATAATTGTGTAAAATTAGCACATGGTTCCATTTAGTTTAACCAAGCAGTTCTGTAACTATCAAAAGAAAAAATTCAACATGCAGTCTTGACTTATGCTTCCACTAACATCTGAAGGACTGAACAGAACCACTGCTTCTAGGCTGCATTGCTTAATCAAAAACATTTCCAGAACATTTTAAAATTTCCTTTGCATTAAAACATAAAAATGATAGAAAGCCAGCAGCAAATCACCCTGGTGGCTATTTAAGCAACTGGAATACTCACAATAAACTAAAATTTCTCATAACATCTAAATAACCTATACTACATGTTGTACCTGTACATCATAGGTCTATATATTAAATATTTGCAAAAGGAAAACATGCATACACAAAATACGTCAAGTTTTACAGACATGGTTTGAATTAAAATATACTTTTGACAATGTACAAACTTCTTTTAAAGTACCTTAAATGAGTAATTCTGTAATTCTTCATAATTTTGAAATTTAGGTTTTCTTCTTAAATCTCTGGGGTGTAAAGCTCAAAAGATCTGGGCAAAAAAGATTCTAAATTAGTTTTAGATTTTAGTTCAAGTAAGTCTTTCTAGAAATAGTTTATGCATTCATAATTGAAAAATATTGACTATGTTACAGAATTAGCCACATTTAAGAACAACACACCTGAGGTCAGCATTTTTGTATAAACGCCAACTGGGTTTCTTAGCAATTTGCCTACAATTCAAAATACAGCTAGTAACCTCAGAAATATATTTTAAGACCATGCTAATTCATTCTTCAAAGACATTTCATTGGAAGAAAAAAAAAGGCTACATTAACTCTTAGGATTGCATTTGAAGTCATGGTTGAAAAAAATCTAATTCTACGGAGGGGAAAAAAAAATCTCATTGTAAACTTAAATGTGTGAACCACAAGCATAAATGGAGGTGTAGATGCCCTCCACTGGAAATTGCCCCAAGCCCCATGTTCACTGCTCTCCACCTTGGCAGCGATGACCCAATCTTATCGGACAGCAAGCACAACATGTCCCAGGGCCCTCAAGACTCCATCCAGGAAGGGGGCTGAGGTCTCAAAAAGCACAATGGTTTCTTCAGAGGGACTGTGAGTTTTATAGTCCACTTGGCCACCCTTCCAGCTCCTCGGGTGATCTGTCCATTTGGGGCCCGAGATGTGAGAGTCCCTGGGAAGCTGCTGGTCACTGGGCACTATGGTTGCCAGTCCCGTGGTTCTCAGTGGCATGTGCGGTGTTCAGAGAATTAAAACCATCTTGCTGTACAGCATCTTTCCGGGGTGGCATTCTCTCATTGATCCTATCCAAACCCTTTGCCTCTTCAAAACTGCAGATTCTATGTGGTGGAGAGAATCCTCGTATTGCTTAACAAAATGCAAATTTGATAAGTCAGTAATTGTAAAACAATTCTGAGATTTCAAAACATTGTTAATGATTTTTAAGAAGAAAGAAATTAGCTGTAAGTAGCAGTACTTAAATCTTACTTTAACTGAATCCTATCCCCATTCCAGTCTTCCCCTTAAAATATGAATGTTTGTTTAAACCTAAATATAAACATGATAGTTTTACAGATGACAAATGTTAGCATAGCCTTGAAGAAAAAAAAAAAAAAACACAAAAATGATCTTCCCTGTCCACAAAAATTAGTCTCCAGGCAATGGTCTCAGGGTATCAGTCTGACTTTTACTAAACCTATCTCAGACTATAAGATCACAAGTGACTATCACAGTTAAATACCAACAAGAGCAGGGGCAAGTGAGGAAGCTAAACAAGGTTAATCCTCAACACACAAATCTGTACCAAGAGTTTGGGAGGAAAAAGAGGTAAAGTTAAGTTAAAATTTAGTAGATTAGCACGAGTTTGGAGGTCATCACTCTATTACCACTGATATGAAATGAAAAAGGTGAGAAATGCCTCCAGAAGTTAGATCTGTGTTTGGCTGATAGCAAAAAGTACTTAGATTTTCGTATTTTAGCATATGTCTTCCTTAATTCACTAACTATTTACTACAAATTCTTTGGAAATCCAAAATAAATAACAATTCTTCACCAATTTTTCTGGTTTCTTACTCAATTTATACGGAATGGTGCATCCTCCATTATTAAAAATGTTCACAGAAATGTTCATATTACTACAAATGCAAATTTGATAAGTCAATTATAATTTGGCTGCTCTATACGTGTGACCAACCTCTATGACTCAGTCTATGCCCGTGAACCAAACAAATAGCTGGGGTAAGAAAACATTTAATAATGTATAATAGTAAGCCAATATATGATATACATAATATAATTTCATCAGTAAACTATAGCCCAAACTATAGCTAAAAAAAAATCAGATTATACAGTAATAGTTCCTATAAACTCATTTCTTTATCCAGATGGGGTTTCACTTAGGGAAAAAAATCTGAGCAGTACAGAATCATACAAAATATGAAGCAAATCTCTACTTGCAGGGTCAGTTTAGTAATTTCCATTAAAATAGGCAATTTTAAATGCTGTAATACATAGTATAACATGCTGTAATCTAAAGAAATCAGGAAGATTAAATTCTGGATGCACATTATACTAGAAAGGGGAAAAAAACAAATTGTGACTATGGATATCAGCCCTTGTGTTCTTGTTTTTGTTTTTTTAAAAGAAGAAGAATGTGACTATTACACTTGATGAGTCAGTGAGTATGATTCATCTTGGGCTGTGTAAGCTAGGAGTAAGACACACCCACAGGACATTCTCTGATGCCCACCCACACACCACAGATCTCTGCCCAGCGTAAGGACTCTGATCGTACCTTTTTCAGCCTCAATAGCCTCAACTGTGGCTGTACAGAAGTGAGCAGAGGCATGCAAAATGAATGAGAGAGATGAGAAGGGTCATATTGTACAGCAGAAAAGGCAATGATCACTTAAAATATCACAGTACCCCATACTACATCGTCATTTACAATTTAACATAAATAGTACCCATTTTAGAGAGCCCCATCCAATCCCCCAATTCCTGACACAGCACAGTTTACACACAGTACTGACATCACTCAGAGCACAGAACATGTAGACCTATTGTAAACACAGACACCTCAGCACTCATGCAGATGCACTTTAGTTTTAATTATCCATGGCAAATTTAGTATTTTGATAGCATTAGAATTTTCCATTATGTTTGTTATATCAAATTCAATACAATAACAGGAAAATTCTGTAGGGTAAAATTATGATGACAGAATTGTAGCAGAAAGCAAACAAGAAAGTCTTTTCTTTCATTCCTAATGGAAACAATACTCAACACCAGTTGGTTCCCTAAGATACAAACTAGAAGGGGTCAGCAATGATGTTCCTATTATTTCTAAATAAAGCATAAGCAGAAAAAGCTGGTATGGTTACAATGAAATTTAAGGGCCATAACCTTGATGAATTAGCGTAAATAAAATCATTCTATAGCTTTGTTCTATACAGAGACATAAAAATTATCCTACTTATCTCCTGAGAACTTCCCTTTCTATCAAATTTTTTCTTTTTGAGTCAGTCTGTCTTGCCAAGGCTAGCCTCAAATCCTGAGACTCAAGCAATCTTCCTACCTGAGCTTTCATGCCACCATGTCCAGTTATTATTCTAATACTGATAATCCAATTAGTTAAATATCTATAACCTTAAAAACCCATTTATATTCAGTTTATCATGAACTTGAATTTGTCTTAAGAACTACATTCTTAATTGAAGAAAGAAAGACTAATGAACATCTTTTCAAATCCATCTGCCTGCCAATTATAGAGGCATCAAGGGATGGAACAGAGGTTTTTTCAGGCAATAAATTCTAATTATTTCATTATAGGGACATAGGTCATATTATAAATGAAAAATATATTCTTAGTATTAATCAGTATAACTCATTTAAAAAACTTCAACATATTTAGTTGTACATTTTGTAGTCAAAATTCTCTATTAGCTCATTCATTGCTGGTTTTAAACTGTAAAATGAGCTCACAAAGAGGTGGGACCAGGATCTAAGATTGCAGAGAATAATACTGCCTTACAATATTGTTCATTATTTAGAATATTTGGGACAATAATGTCCCATCCTTTCTACTTTGCTTCTTGAAAATGAGGCCAATTAGAATATTTATTCTTGAAATGTCATTTTAGGAGTAGATGTGATTTAGAAATGATACATTTTATCCAAAGAAGTTTTTAATATGGAGAAGACAGAGATGAACTAAGGAAATTAACATAGACTAAGTTAGAAAATATTGGTGATCTTAACCAGATGATAAGTAAATTAGGGATCCAAAAGAAGTATGATGAATACTGAATAAAGGAAGAGTTAATTTTCCTTAACTGTTAAATTATAGTGTAAATCAGTCACTCTTAGTTTATGCCCACTATTCAAATCCCTGTTGAAAAATAAAACTAGCCTTGTACCACTGGAAATTACTCTTATAATTCTAAAACTTCTACTCTTCAAATATGAACAATTAACTTTATAATTTAAAAACTGGGGAGAAATAAAATGACTATCAGAATGTTTTTAAAGAATCAGTAGTAACAAAAGTGAGCACCGTGCTGGTGTATACCCCAGTGACTCAGGAGGCTGAGGCAGGAGAGTCAAAAGTTCAAGGCTA